CTTTTCCTGTATTCTCCTCCTGGAATCTTGGGGGCACATGCACAAGCACCCGGAGTGTTTTTCAAGTCACCAGGTCTAAAATTCAAACTGCAGTCGGCCATGTGGGAGTCCAGTGTTGTAACCATGATGCCATCTGCTGGCCCTAAGACTCCAAGTGCCTCATGTATATTAACTCAGTCAGTGACAACTCATGAGGTAGGTATGTTTCTCCTCATTTTAAAAGTGAGCATAGAGAATTTACACAATCTGCCAAGATGACCCAGTCAGTAGGTGACAGAGCTACTTTCTGTTCCCACAGTGACACACGTAACTGTACTGCCAAATCTTAATTTCCATGTCCTACCTTCGGAGGCAGGAATTCCGTCCATCTCTAATGTCCTCAGTTCTTCACCCCTGCCTAATCCACCCTCTGAGTAACGGGAGCTTGCAACATATCCATTCAAAACAGAACACCTATGTCCGCACTGCTTGAATCTGGGTGGCCTCGCGATCTGTGTTGGCCTATTAAATGTGGCGAAAGTGATGATGAACCAGTTCCAGGCCCAGGCCCTTTCTCAGAGCCTGTGTCACTGCCATGTGATTAGGTCCAGGCTGGTCTGCTGGGAACCGAGACTGTGGAGGAGAGCCTAGCTGTCCCAGCTAAAGCCATCAAACATCATCTAAGGAAACCCCAAATATTGCAGGTAAGCAAGATCAGCCAAACTCAGCCCGACAACAGGATTTTTTGTAAGAACTAATCATTTATTTTTATTATTTTTTAGAGTTTTTTTGTTTGTTTGTTTGCTTGCTATAGGGCATGTGCGCTCACGAGAGAAACAAGGAGAAACAGAGAGACAGAAAGTGAGAAATCACCCCCCAAGAGGGGCTGACCTCAGTCCCTCCTCCATTCTCCTCTCAAAATTTTGGGCACACATGTCCAGCATGAGTTTCGACCCACCGGGTCTGGAACTCGAACCATGGTAGACTACATAGGAGTTCACCAACATAACCATTATTCCACGTGTTCATGTGCTCACCAGAGGGGAGTGGGGAAAGGGAGAAAGCAAGCCGTCAGGTCTATGACTCAAAGCATGGTTGGCCACAGTACCTTAACCACCATGCCACCTGCTGATCCCCACAGGATACATTCTAAGGCTCTTCCTATATAGCAATCAATCACTTTCTTGAACCATTACAAGAAAAGATAACACTGTAACTGGAGGGGACAAAATAAGGCCAGTTCACATTCCAGGTTGTGGAAGAAACATGGACAAAAGGAGGATAGGAGAAGGCGAGGCATCCTTAGAGAACATGGAGTAATCCGTGTGACTGTAACCCAGGCGTGCCTGATGGGTCATGGGAAGGAAACCTAGACAAGTGGGATAAACTGCTCAGTGGTTCCAACCAGCCAGCAGGTTGTGAAAAGCCCGTTCATTTGAGAAGCGTGTTCATTTTCTACTGACAGCACCATGAGGTAACATGGTCTTGTGATGGTCAGTTACAGAAAAGAAACCCAAATGCAGGATTCGAAGAAAGACAACCTGACCCCAGAGCCCACCTTATCCATTTACTACAAACCATGACAGAAGGAGTAAGGTGCAGAGACCAGTCACAAAAATACAGCAACTGGGGAACCAGCAGTTAGCATAATGGCTATGTCGCTGGACTCCCACGTAGTCGACCGTGGTTCGAGTCCTGGACCCAGTGGCTTACACTCACGCCAGGTGCGTGTGCGTGTGTGCCCAAGATCCCGAGAGGAGAATGGAGGAGAAGGGATTGCGGCGTGGCCTACCCCCCGGAGGGTGATTTCTCACTTTCTGTCTCTCTCTGTCTCTCTGAGAGCATAGGCACACTATAGCAGAAACCTCTCTTTTTAAAACAAAGTCATTTTATTGGTAATCAATTGTTAAAAGAAGGAATACACTTGGATTTTGTTTCACTCAATACTAAATTTTCTCCTATTTAAGAATCTTGCTGAGAATTAAGATTTTAATTTTCTTGTATCCATAAGCTTTTGAAAATCCAATATTTAGTCCCCATTTCAAATTTTCATTTCCTACAGTTTTTTGCTCATTTGTTTGTTTTTTAAAGAATTGTTTTATGTAACTTTATTTATCTATTTACCTATTTATTTTAATTTGACCACAGAGTGATAGAGAGAGAAAGAGAGAAAGTGAGAAGTCTCCCAGTCTGGGATTCAAACCGCAGCCAGCTATGTGAGAGTCCAGCACCCTTAACCACCATGCCACCTGCTGGTCCTGTTTGTTTGTTATGTTTATGAGACTCAAAATAAAAATTTAGAAAGAAAAAGAAACATAGCTAAAATTTATTACCTATCTTCTATGTGCTGAGTGAGAACAATACACACACAGACACACACACATGCACACACACATCCTACTTAAAATGTGGGGATGGGACCAGCAGATAGCGTAATGTTTACATCACTAGACTCCACGTAGTCGACCACGGTTCGAGTCCCAGACCAGGCAACTTAAAACTGACACCAGGCACATGTGTGTGCATGCCCAGAATCCTGAGAGGAGAATGGAGGAAAAGGGATTGCAGCATGACCATCCCCACCCCGGGATGGGGGGTGATTTCTCAGTTTCTGTTTCTCTGTCTCTCTCTCTCTCTCACGCATCCTATAATAAAAATCTCTCAAAAAAAAAAAAAAAAGAGTTAATTAAGGGGAGAGCTGGCAAAGGGAAATCAAATGAGACTTCTTGATTGTTTTTATGTTAACTAATAAGAGATAAAGATAATAGGGGCCAGCAGATGACATAATGGTAACATCACTGGACTCCCACATAGTCGACTGTGGTTCAAGTCCTGGACCCAGCAGCTTAAAAATGCACACTGAGTGTATGCACATGTGCCCAAAGTCCTGAGAGGAAAATGGAGGAGAAAAGATTGCAGTACGCCATCCCCTCAATGGGGAGTGATTTCTCGTTTTCTGCCTGTCTGTATGGCAAACGCACATGCCCTATAACAAAAATCTCTCTTAAAAAAAAAAAAAGATAATAAATTTTCTCTTTCACAGAACAGAAATGTTTGAGAAAACTGTTTAAAGATTTGTGCTTCTACTCAAAACAGAAGATCTAGTGGTGTTGCTAAGTGTCATGGGAAAAACATACCTAAATTGCAAACTAACGTAACACATGTGTGAATTAAAATCTGCATTCTGCCATACTTGTTTGTAGCAGCTGGCAAGCTATTTAACCAATCTGAATCACAACTTTTTCAGCTGTAAAATTCAGAATAATAAAATTCAGAAAGTGTATTATGACTTTTCCAACAATCCAACAGAAGTTCACTGTCAGTTCCAAAAGCATCTACCCCATGCCTGTCAGGCTACTTAATAAATACTAGTTTTCATTTTCTTTACAAAAACTTTCAGGTCCTGGAATTTATCACCTATACGTGAACTCTGTGCAAAGAGTATTTGTCATTCTGGGTCAGTTAATAATCAACTTCCTTAAGTTTGAATTAGCATATCAATGGCTTAGTAGTAAGATACAAAATTCATCAATTGGTTTAATTTGACTGTCATATAACTGGATAACTAAAAGGCATTGCCATATAAAGTTATTTACTAGTCTATGTGGTATGAGCCCATTAAAATGTACAGGTGAAATATATTCCATACACTGAACATTAGCACATCCAGGAAGCTGGAAACCCAGACCCGCAGCTGACACGATGCCTGACTCCCAGCTCAGTCACCACCTCTGAGTCATTCATTCATTGTGTAGTAAATCTCAACTACATGACGCAGCCAGGAAACAAAGACTGAAATGAATATTTATTTTTTCCTAGGGAGGAGGTGAAACCCTATGTTCATAACTAAGCGAAAACTAGAATTGTTTTTAAGCATTTTTTTTCCCCTAATGTTGGCTCTTCTCCTCTTTTCTCCAATGCTTTTTTCCCCATTAAAACATGAGGGCCGGCAGGTGGCCTGGTGGTTAAAGACGCTGGATTTCCACATGGCTGACCACGGTTCAAGTCCCAAACCTGGTGGCTTTCTTTCTCACTTTCCTTCTCTTTCTCTCTCTCTCTCTGATCAAACTGGAGAATAATAGTAATAATAAGTAAAGTTAAATAAAATAATTATTTATAAAATGAGCTCTAGGATCAGCAGTTGGCATAATGGCTGTGTCGCTGGACTCCCATGTAGTTGACTGCAGTTCAAGTCCCGGACCCAGTGGCTTAAACTCACGCCGGGCGCGTGTGCGTGCATGCACAAGATCCCGAAGGATAATGGAGAAGGGATTACGGCGTGGCCATCCCCCCTGTCTCTGTCTCTCTTTCTGGTGAGCGCACGCGCCCTATAGCCTCTCAAAAAAAAAAGAAAAGAAAAAAAAATGAGCTCCAAGGAGTGATTTCATCTTCATTGAAGTGCAAATAAATAACAGTAAATGTGTCCCAGAGGCATTTATTTCTTGGAAATAAGGTCACTGGCTTACATGATGAGAATGCTAGAGCAGTGATGAACCCAAACATCTGCAAAGCAACAAGGAAGAACAATTTCAGGCACAAGGGCCTGCAAGTTGCTCCCTAACTCAGATCAACAGGCCACCACTGGCAATTAAAGCACTATGAGACGCCCCGAAAGCTCCTTTACCCAGTCCCCTAATACACTTTTTTCATGTTTCCAGCTACCATCACTCCCCCACCTTGACTTCTGTCAAACCGTTCTCTGGCTTCTGTTAAAGAGCCGGTGTCAGAACATGTTCCTGCTCGGGAAGGCCCTGGGTGAGGTGGAGACCTGCTCCAGTACTACACGGGAACCAAATCCCTCTGTCCCAGCAGTAGTTACCGTGCGATTATCGGAGGATGAACACAGCAAAGTAAACTCTGAACTCAGAAAGGGAAGTCCCTCCATGGCTGAATACGTCTCTATAACACTGAGATTCCCAGTGGGCCCTACTAAGAGACTGGCAGAGTTTTCAGCACAGACGTGTCATCATCCCCCAGGTGGGATTAGAGAGGACTTGCAGCAGCTCCCCAGTGGAACTTACCTGAGATCCATATCTCCATCAGCCCAGAAGGTGAAAATGTTAGAGACGGTCCCCCCTGGGCAGCACCCCATGATGAGAACCACGATCGCTTGGGCTGGCTTCAAAGAGAAGCTGACGGCCAGGAGGTAGGCTGCGAGAGGCATGAGCCCGAACTGGCAGAGCAGTCCCACCGCGATGCCCCAGGGTCTCCTGACATGCGACCACAGCTTCTGGATCTCCACAGAGCATCCCAGCGAGAACATGAGCAGCGCCACCATCACAGCTGACAGCACCGTGAAGGCGAGCTCGAGATTCCCATGCGCCTCCAGTCCCCGGGGCAGTTCCTCCTCCGAACTGTTGGGAGGACAGGCCGAGCCGGAGCAGTTTCTCATCTCCTCATCTCCTTGAGGCAGCGTGACAAATGAACGCCAGCAACGGGGCTGGGCAGGTCCATCCTACCACGTTTTGTAATAATGCCACAAAGTCACGCGTGGAGAATCATTCCAAAGAGCCACCCAAGTGACTCATCCTGATCTGATCAATTCATTCACAAGCGGCATTATAAAAGTAGTTACCGTGGGCATGAAACATACCATCAACTGGGATAAGTCAGGCTTTCTACCTCTGTCCTTGCCACGGAATATTCAAGGGAAATGAGACAAGCCAACTTACTGTCGAGTGGAAGGACTGGGCTGTCATCAGCATCTCGCCGTGTGCCAGGAAAGCAGGCTGGATGCCAAGACACCCTTTCTCCACATTCAGCAGGGATTTCAAAGAGCCAGGATGCAACGTGATGTTGAGAAAAAGGCTTATTGGGGGGGGGGGAGGCAGCCCAGCCAAAGCCACGCCTCAGAGCGTCAACAAGGCGTTTCTGTTGAAAACGTTCAGGCAAAAAAAGGCCAGTTAAGGAAATGTTGGGAGGGACTAAGGATCATTTCCAGTTAGTCCCAACTTTTCTTTCCAAGAGAAAAGCAGTGTTAGTTTCCATTTTTATTGGGTCCTCGGAAACCGACAACCCAGTATTTAGCAGGTTTTCTAATTGTATTTCTATTAGAATTTGTGTTTAAAGCCAGTAATTAAACACCTGTGGGGCCAGCAGGTGGCACGGAGGTTAAGGTGTTGATCCCACAGAGCTGACTGTGTGGTTTGAGCCCTGGACTTGGCGGTTCAAAAATCACACCAGGCATGTGTGCGCGCGTGCTCAAAATCCTAAGAGGAAAATGAAAGAGAGGGGACTGCTGCATGGCCATCCCCCTGGAAGGTGATTTCTCACTTTCTCTCTGTCTCTCTTCAGTGAGCACACACATCCTATAGCAAAACTTTTAAAAGAAAAGGAACACTTGCAAGAATAATACGATGTTAAGCATCTTGATTATATCTCATGAAGCATGTGGAATAATTTAAAGGAGCTGTCACTTTCTTTTGGGGTGAGAGTTATCCTTAAAATGCCATCCCCCTGGGCCTCCTGGTGAAGTCTGGGAATCCTGCAAGGGAAGGGAGTAAGAACTTGGTCTGGAATCTGCAGACGGGGCCTGAGGGCGCCTCCGACCACAGTGCCCGGGGCCCTGCTGTGTGTTCTAACCAGGCACCATTGATGAAACCAGACGAGGACAATGTGGTCCCAAGAAACCAGACCTTCCAAACAGCAGGTGCCACACCTCTCCTCACAGACAGCTCAGTTTATTTGTAGGGCATGGGCTGGTAACAAGGCACACTTTATAAACGCCTGTCAAGAGGAATACTAGCTATGCATTGTTTCATCTTGGAGTAGCAAATTCTTTTCCATGACAAAATGGTCAGGGCATGCTGGCTATACAAAAATGCAAGTCGAATACAAACAAAATTAATTTTAACTGTGTGAAAAAGGATAAAGCACCTTAGGCACACACACCGATGGTGGCTGTGACGTCTAGTTTCCTGGGAGGCTGCCCGAGGTCAGCACAGGGTGTATTTACACCAAGCTGAGCAGACAGTGGACACTGAAGAACAGGGGAACATGCCAGGTGTGTGAATGCATGCCCCAAACCTGATGGCATGGAGGAAAAAGGTAGTGGTGCGACCATGCCTCATCCAGCTCTCTCTTTCTTTCTCTAGTAAACAAACATGCCATCTAGCGATGCGAAATAAAAAAACACGCCGGGAAGTATTACCAAACTAAATGGTTAAACATAGAAAAGGGATCAATATAACTAACAGTTTTCTTTTTCTTTTTCTTTTGGAGAGCTTTTTGCTATAGGGTGCATGTGCTCGCCTGCTCATCAGAAAGACTGAGAGAGACAGAAAGCAAGAAATCCCCCCACCCCCACCACGGGGGAAGGCTATGCCACAATCCCTTCGCCTCCATTCTCCTCTCGGGATCTTGGGCATGCACGCCCACGTGCCTGGCGTGGGTTTAAGCCACTGGGTCCGGGACTCGAACCATGGTCAACTACATGGGAGTCCAGCGACACAGCCATTACGCTAACTGCTGGTCCCAATACAACTAATAGTTTTTAAAAGTACATTAAAATAACAAATTTTGCCAATCAGTACCAAAAAAAAAAAAAAAAAAATTAGGCTTAGGTGCAGTGGTGTGCAATGCTCCGTAATACTGAGAGGCCTTGTGGGAAGGCCCTGGGATTGTGTCCTGAGGTTTCCCTGTGCATTCTGGGCATGTGCTTACACTCATGATCCTGGCTGGCTGAGGCTGGGGTGGACTGTGGCATAGGACCTTCTTGGGGGCATGTCTATCTCAGAAAAAATAAACAAGGATTGATCAATATGGGCCAATTCTTAGCCTAGTGGTTAAGGGAGCCAGATCCTACATGACTGACTGTGGTTCAAATCCTGTCCCTGACAACTCAGAAACCCATTTGGGTATGTGTGTATGTGTGGCCAAAAACCTGACGAGATGGAGAAATGGAGGAAACGGGATTGCAGCATGATCACACCACACTGTGTACGAGCACCGTCAATCAACAAAACAATTCTTTTTAAAAAATTAAGACCTGAGGCCGGTGCGTGGCATGGTGGTTGAGGGTGCTGGACTCTCACATGGCCGACCGTGGTTTCAGTCCCAGACCTGGCAGCTTGTTTTCTCACTTTCCCTCTCTGTTTCTCTCATTCGGCCCTTTCTGGTCAAATTTAAACAAACAAATTAATTAATTAATTAATTAAAGTAGGGTTAAATTAAAATAATTCTTTAAAAAACATACTTAAGTGGGGCCAGCAGGTAGCATGGTGGTTAAGGCACTGGACGTGCCCACATGGCCAACCACGGTTCAAGTCCTAGACCTGATGGCTTGCTTTCTCACTTTCCTTCTCTCTGTGTGTCTATCTTCCTCTGATAAAATAAAAATAAATCGATGAATAAATAAAATTAAATAAATATTTTTTAAATTTTTTTTAAATACTTAAGAGAAGTAAAAATAATTTAAAAAAAAAATTAAGACCAGAACAGCTTCTCAGCCATGTGGTTAAGGCAGCCAAATAGCATGTGGCCAACCAAATAGTTTGAGACCCAGACCAGTGGCTTGAGAAACACGCTGTGTGTGTGCTAAAAATCCCAAAAGGAGAGAGAAGGAGAAGGGATTACAGCATGCCTATTCCCTATGGGGGTGGGGGGGATGCTTTTTCCTCTCTCTCTCTCTCTCTCTCTCTGGTGAGCACATGCACTCTCTAGCAAAAATAATTAAATATAAAAAATCAGACCAAATGGTACAGACAGAATGCTCCCACTCATGTGAAAATAATAAGCACAGAAAGCAACTAAATGGAAAGACTCCCAAATTTTCATAGTGATTATTTCTATATATAGAACTATGCATGACTTTTTTCCTTCTATCTATTATATTTTCTACATTTTGATGTTATCTGAAGTGGCTGTGAATTACTATTTTATAGTAATAAAAAAAGGAACTGATGGGGCAGCAGGTAGCATAGTGGATAAGAGCCCACAAGCCCGACTGCAGTTTAAGTCCTAGACCTGGTAGCTTGCTTTCTCACTCTCTGTCTCTCTGTGTGTGTTCCTCTCTGGTCAAATTAAAATAAATAAATAAAGTAATCCTTTTTGTTTTTTTTTTAAAGGAACTGATGGAAAAGGAGTAAAAATAGAAGATTTACTAATTTTTTTTTTAGTTTTTTTTCCATATAGTCTTTGCTTTTGCCAGAAAGAGACAAAGAGAGGGAAAGTGAGAAATAACCCCCAGGGGAGATGGACACCCCACAACCCCTACTCCCCCATTCTCCTGGGGTTTTGGGTATGCGCACACACATACCTGGAGTGATTTTCAAGCTACCAGGTCCAGGACTCAAACCACGGTCAGCCATGTGGGAATCCAGCACCTTAACCACCACACCACCTGCTAACCCCACAATCTGGTCATTTTAATTAGCTCCATAAAGATTTATGACACCCTAATTCCTTTATGAAAAGCCAGACTATTGAGGTGATTTAGTGGTTATCTGTTTCCTAGGATTTTATAGGGTATCCTAACACATGCCAAAGCTTCCAGGTAAGAGATTTTCCTGGGATTTTATAGGGGATCCTAACACATACCAAAGCTTCCAGGTAAGAGATAGCCACAGAAAATGGAATGCAAGGGCCTGAAGAGACTGCTGGGCTGTCAGGTCTAGAGAAGGGAGAAAAATGCATCGCAAAAGTGTTGGTCAAAACAATACCTGTTCCACCTTCAGGATAAAATAACCACAAGGGAAAATAAAGCACTTCGTCAATGCCACCAACCAGAAGGACTAGTTCACCCTGACTGGTAGCTTGCTATTTATAAAAGTGTTTGTGGTCGTTTTCCCAGCAACCTTTCCTGGCCTCAGCTCACACCAGATTATAACCTTAAGATTATACCCATAAATGTTCATAACCTGTTTAAATCTTAGAATTATGAGAAGAATATTTATTATAAGATGTAATAAACAAGATGAATGGGGTTTGTCAGCCACGACAGCAAGCTGCTGCCACAGATCTTCTACAACAACTACCATCTACTGTGCCGGGCCCTGAGAGAGGTGTCTTATGTATCCCATGGAGTTCCCCCAACAACCCTCATTTACCCACAAGTGAAGACAGGCTTATTGAAATTAAACAACCTGTGGGGCCAGCAGATGGCATAGTGGTTACGTTGTTGAATTCCACATGGCTGACTGCGAGTAAAGTCCCGGACATGGCTTGAAATTCATGCCCGGCATGTGCCTGCGTGCCCAAGATCCCAGGAGGAGAATGGAGAAGAAGCGATTGTGGTGTGGCCTTCCCCCCGGGGAGTGGGGGGTTATTTCTCACTTTTCCTCTCATTGTCTCTGCCCCCATCTTCCCCCCTCCACCCCCACCCCAGCACATGCGCTCTAAGACAAAAAATCTCTAAAAGAAAAAAACAGGAAAGAAAGAAATTAACAGCTTGCTATGGTCTAACCTAGGAAACAACAAACAGGCAAGGGGACAGAAGTTGATTCTGGAGTCTATACTCTAAGAGACATAAATAAAATTCTTGAGTTCCACTTGTACAAAATAATATTCTTGCTACTCAAACCAAATGTCCCACCTTGACTACTGCTGTTATCCACATTACTCAACTTTTAACTCTCGCCTTGCAAGGTTATGAATACAAGTGCCCAGTGAATGTGTTAACCGACATTCTGAAAGAACGCAAGCGGTCCTCAAAAAGTTCATGAAAATGCATATTATAAAAACCTATGCATGGGGGCTGGCAGGTAGTGTGGTAGTTAAGGGTACTAGATTCCCACATGACTGTGGTTTGAGTCCCAGACCTGGTAGTTTTCTTTCTCACTTTCTCTTTCGTTCTCTCTCTCTTTCTTCCTGCTCTGTTCACATTAAAATAGATAAAAGTTCAATAAAATAATTCAAAAAAATAATAAGCTATACATGAATTTTAACATTTTTTGCACCAAAATAAACTTGTACTTCAGTTTCATTTTCCCACAAATTTTCTTTTTTACTATTACCAGAGGGTCCAAGTGCTGACACAGAGCATAAGCTAAAGTGCCCCTCGGAGTACGGTCATGCCACAGCCCTTTCCCTCCGTTTATCCTTCCCACCAGGATTTTAGGCATGCACCCATGTATACACACCTGGTTCTCAAGCCACTGCAACCAGGATTTGAGCTGGGACGGGCCATGTGGGATCCAGCTCCCAAAGCATAGGGCTTAACCACTTTCCAGGAGCCCAGCCCTTCATGAATTATTTTTTAAGTCTCCTCATAATATCCATGCTAAAAAGAAAAACATCTTAATTGACATGTCTGAACGACTCATTATTTTAAAGTAATTACCTGATTCAAACGTTCATGATCCTAACACAAAGACTGCTTCACTTCCTAGCACTTCTCATAGATCTAAAGGACCTTACAGTGGCCTCCTGAAAGGAACACACACGCAGGGGCCAGTAGATGGCATAGGGGTTAAGGCACTGGACTCCTGTGTGGCCGACTGTAATTCAAGTCCCAGACCTAGCCGCCTGAAAGTCACAGTGAGCACAAGTGCGTGCACACCCAAAATCCCAAAGGGAGAATGGATAAGAAGGAATTGCCATCCCCCCGGGAGATGATTTCTCACTTTGTCTCTCTGTCTCTGTCTTTCCAGTGACTGCAAAAAAAAAAAAAAAAAAAAAAAAAAAAAAAAAAAAAGACAAAAAAAACCTCTTCCCAAAAAAAACCTCTCTCTCAAAAAATAAATAAATAAAAAATAAACATGCAAAGCAGACCCTTGCCCACATCAACTAGCTACCCCCCAAGAAGGGAACGGAACTGGGCAAGTCAGACATTTTACAGTAATATAGAGGCAGCCATTCATTCTCTCCTTACACATTTTACTCAGAATTTAAACCCAAAGGCCACGACTGCAGAGGATCAGAAATGTACTCCCCTACCTCCATGGCTAGGCCAGGACACGCACCTAGTTCTCTGGCCAAGATGAATCAGAACAAAGGGTGTTGCTGAGCACAGGTATTTCTTAGGAACACCAGGGCTCAGTCTCAGACATCTAGAACACCCTTCCAGCCTTCTGGCCTGACCGTTCCGAGGTAGGATGCCTGAGGCATTTCAAGTGCTCAGTAAGTAATAGCTATGTGGTGGTGGTGGTTATTAGTAACATCTGTTGCATCTAACCCTGAAAAATAACAATGTCAGGATCAGAAAAATAAATTGTCCTTTACTTCTGCTTCCAATTTTCTGATTTGTTTTTCAAAGCCTTTTGTTAGGAAAATTTAAAAATTTCCTTCAAACACTAACACGGTCATGAGAAAACAAAAAACTACATGTGCTTATCATGTGGTCCCACGATAAATGGAGACCACTGTTAGGAAATCACCCTCTTCTCATTTTGAAGGAAACTATGTCCGCCATTTCCATGACTTGTGTAAAGTAACTTCGATGTTGAATGCAGGACTGAGATTCTGACAATCACTCTCCTGGGGACACCTGAATTATGATGCAACCCTGCACCTGGGGAAGGAGGCAGCGCAGGTAACCCAGGCCAGGAAAGGTCTGGTCCTTTGTTGGGTTCAGATATTCTTGTCTTATCTGCTCTAGATAGTGGCGAGAGCAGGAGACATAACCCAATGGGAAATAGCCACACCATGAGCAATCTTTGAAACAATGGGAGAGGCCGTCTCCCGCTGGCACTGGAAGAAGCTGCCTTGGCAGAGGGTTGATTCCATAGTTACCTGATGTGGTGATGCCAGAGTTACCTGAGGTAGGGAAAAATGGTTACTGCAACTGAAGCCCACAAAGGGGAGTACACCCACATTCCAGCGATGTGAAAGCTTCAGAGCGGAAAGCCGGTCAGTCGTTAGAGTGGAACTGGATGATCAGAAGCAACGGAGAGGGACTGACACTAAAAAGAGCATATTAACAGAAGGTAGGGAGGCAGCAGGTGACATGGAGGGTAAGGCGCTGGATCCCATATGGCCAGTTTCATGGTTTAAGTCCCGCACCTGGTGGCTTCAGAATCATGTCAGGCATGCGTGCATGCCCCAATTCCTGAGAGGAGAATGAAGAAGGGATTGCTGCATGGACATCCTTCCAGGAGTGATTTCTCACTTTCTCTCTCTCTGACAAGCACACGCATGATAGAGCATAAATAAATAAATAAATAGGAAGATAGGAGATTGTGCTCATTGTTTCAAATAAAGTAAACCATGGCCACTAGGTTCTTGCCATGGGTACTTCCTGGAAATGGCCCGAGGCCACCAGAGATTGGCTAGGGAAATCTATCTTACTGAAATTTTAGTATGGGCCTACTTGCCCCTCACCAGCTGTGCGCCCCTGTACTAGCTGTGTCAGTGGTGGAGCTGATGCCGGGCATTCCTACCTGTTTATTCTTCTCTCTTACTTCACGTTTGGTTCAGATCCTGGACAAAGAACCGAAGTATCATTTTTGTGTGTGTGTCACCCTCAAGATTTGTAACATCTAGCACATTAGAGCAGACATTCTGTGAATTAGGATGGAACTGGAAACCAAAATAACAAGAATTTTGGTGGAGTTAGGTATATAGCTTTGAACCTTGGAGTCAAGGCAAGGGCAGGGCATTTTGACCTAGATCTTTCCAGAGATTATTACTAGGTAGTGAGTAGTGAGACTGAATTTTACAATTGTACCGTGAGACTCATTTTTTTTTAAAATAAAGAATTACTTCTTTATTTAATTCCATTTGTTATTACTTTTTTTTTTTTTTTTTTTTTTTGAGACATGGAGGGTAAGGCGCTGGATCCCATATGGCCAGTTTCATGGTTTAAGTCCCGCACCTGGTGGCTTCAGAATCATGTCAGGCATGCGTGCATGCCCCAATTCCTGAGAGGAGAATGAAGAAGGGATTGCTGCATGGACATCCTTCCAGGAGTGATTTCTCACTTTCTCTCTCTCTGACAAGCACACGCATGATAGAGCATAAATAAATAAATAAATAGGAAGATAGGAGATTGTGCTCATTGTTTCAAATAAAGTAAACCATGGCCACTAGGTTCTTGCCATGGGTACTTCCTGGAAATGGCCCGAGGCCACCAGAGATTGGCTAGGGAAATCTATCTTACTGAAATTTTAGTATGGGCCTACTTGCCCCTCACCAGCTGTGCGCCCCTGTACTAGCTGTGTCAGTGGTGGAGCTGATGCCGGGCATTCCTACCTGTTTATTCTTCTCTCTTACTTCACGTTTGGTTCAGATCCTGGACAAAGAACCGAAGTATCATTTTTGTGTGTGTGTCACCCTCAAGATTTGTAACATCTAGCACATTAGAGCAGACATTCTGTGAATTAGGATGGAACTGGAAACCAAAATAACAAGAATTTTGGTGGAGTTAGGTATATAGCTTTGAACCTTGGAGTCAAGGCAAGGGCAGGGCATTTTGACCTAGATCTTTCCAGAGATTATTACTAGGTAGTGAGTAGTGAGACTGAATTTTACAATTGTACCGTGAGACTCATTTTTTTTTAAAATAAAGAATTACTTCTTTATTTAATTCCATTTGTTATTACTTTTTTTTTTTTTTTTTTTTTTTGACCAGAGAGAGAGAGAAAGGGATAGCGAGAAAGCAAGCCACCAGGTCTGGGACTCAACCACGTTCATCTATGTGGGACTCTAGCACCTTTAACCACCACACCACCTGCAGACCCCATACAGTGAGATTCTTAGCAATTTTGACCTAGGTAAGCAGTTTTAGCTTGTGAAGATGGACCACACAGACAGCCTAACAGCACAGGCTCCCAGAAACACACGGACTTGAAATCACAGCATCAAGAACTGCATCTCAGTTCCACTCCTTTGAAAGTTGTCAAGTTACAAATCCTTTGCCTAGCCTCTCCCACCCCAATTCCCTCAGAACGGAAATAGGGATTTGAAAAGCTCCTATAAACATGCACCCGTCACCCAGACATTTCTCTCCTTGGCATTTACCCCAAAGGTATGAGAGCACATGCCTACACAGACCCAGGGCGGCTGTGTAAGAACCAGAAACAACCCAAATGTCTGCCAGTAAGTTCATGCAGAAACGCGGTGTGGTGAATCCATACAATAGAACACTGCTCGGCAATAACAAGGAGCAGATGTGCAACGACATAGCTGCATCGCAAAGTGATTACGCTAAGTATGTGAAGGCAGATGGGAAAATAGTACCTAGTGAAGAATTCCGATCTCTACAACTCTCAGAGATGCAAACTAAAACAACAGCGGAAAGCACATGGGTTAGTTGCCTGGAGACAGCAGTGTGGGGTGGCAGTAAGAAGGAAATGGTGTGGAGCTGGACAGGGGCAATGGCACGTGGGGTGGTTACTGTTCAAGTCCAGAGACCTCTGTGAATACAGCCGGCATGCTCTTGTCTATGATCCAGAGCTGGCTAGGCCAGGACTGGATTATGGCATGAAACCGTGTTGGGGGGAGGGCTAGCAGATGATACAGCAGTCAAGCTGCTGGTCTCCCACAAGGCCAACTGCAGTTCGTGTCCCAGACCTGGTAGCTTGCTTTCTCACGTTCCTTCTCTCTCTCTGGTGAGCATACATGTCCTGTAGCAAATTTAAAAGAAAAAAAAGATTGTAAATAAAATCGAATAAATAATTTTTTTAATTATTAAAAATATTTTTTTTAATATAGTCCTGTTTGGAGTACTGTCTTCTCTCGCTCATGGAAGAAGTAAGTAAATATACTTAAAAAAAAAAAAAAAGGCCATGG